GTATTTAAACTCAGTAAAGATAAATATATATTCCACTACTCGGTTAATTAACATATAGTTAGGAACCAGATAATAAAAAAAATATGACCTAAATTCAAACTATAAAACAAAAAAATTAAATAAGGCTTATCTAAACTTTCCAAAGAGTATTTTATTGACAAATAAATATCAACAAATAAATCTCATTAAGAAAGTATAGAAAATATAGAGGAAAAATCTCAGTTATTATATGAGGGTAGGTAATCAAAACAACTCCAATTACAAAAATCCCGATCATAATAAAAACTAAGCAAAAATTTTGAAAACTAAAAATTTACCCAAAAATAATGTATGTTATTCGCGAGTAAGATCTCAATAAAACTCAGATCAAAAATCTCAAACAAAAAATCATACAAAAGATAGAAGTTTTATTAAATATTTGGTTCAGAATTCTATTTAAAAAAAATCTGAAAATCCAAAATATTTTCAAAAACGGAATTGAGGAAAACAAAATAAAGAGAAAGTTAGTTAATACCACGATTGATTGTTTTGTTTGGAACTTCAGCCAAGATGTAAATAAAATTGTTCAAATTATATGTCCTAAGTGTTTACCAAAGGCATGTAGAACTATTTAGCTGAGGCCCCACGTTGGGCGCCATTAAATTTATGTAACGCACCGCAATCGTTGTGCCGACTAATGGACATGGTCATTCCGTACAATTTAAAAACTCACGTTTTTGTATATCTAGATGACTTACTTGTTGTTTCGCAGACTTTTGACGAACATTTGACACACTTGATGGAGACAAGAACACCACCCCAAACCCTGAGCACGGTCGGAATAACAGGTAGCACAGGTCTTCTAAAGGATAGGGCACAACGCGTGAATCGTTACATCCTAGGACTTGGACTTCATAGTCCAAATAAATGTTCTGCGGTCATATTCCCAGTTCTATATCTAGCATTATTCATTATTCCTAGTCCTATTCCTAGTCCTATTCCTAGTCCTATTCCTAGTCCTATTCCTAGTCCTATTCTTAGTCCTAGTCCTAGTCCTATTCCAAGTCCTATTCCTAGCCCTAGTCCTAGTCCTAGACTAGGAATAGTCCTATTCCTAGTCCTATTCCTAGTCCTATTCCTAGTCCTATTCCTAGTCCCATTCCTCGTCCTATTCCTAGTCATAGTCCTATTCCTAGTCCTAGTCCTATTCCTAGTCCTATTCCTATTCCTAGTCCTAGTCCTAGTCCTATTCCTAGTCCTATTCCTAGTCCTATTCCTATTCCTAGTCCTAGTCCTATTCCTAGTCCTAGTCCTATTCCTAGTCCTATTCCTAGTGCTATTCTTAGTCCTAGTCCTATTCCTATTCCTAGTCCTATTCCTAGCCCTAGTCCTAGTCCTAGACTAGGAATAGTCCTATTCCTAGTCCTATTCCTAGTCCTATTCCTAGTCCTATTCCTAGTCCCATTCCTCGTCCTATTCCTAGTCATAGTCCTATTCCTTTCCTAGTCCTATTCCTAGTCCTATTCCTATTCCTATTCCTAGTCCTATTCCTAGTCCTATTCCTAGTCCTATTCCTAGTCCTATTCCTAGTCCTATTCCTAGTCCTATTCCTAGTCCTATTCCTAGTCCTATTCCTAGTCCTATTCCTAGTCCTATTCCTAGTCCTATTCCTAGTCCTATTCCTAGTCCTATTCCTAGTCCTATTCCTAGTCCTATTCCTAGTCCTATTCCTAGTCCTATTCCTAGTCCTATTCCTAGTCCTATTCCTAGTCCTATTCCTAGTCCTATTTCTAGTCCTATTCCTAGTCCTATTTCTAGTCCTATTCCTAGTCCTATTTCTAGTCCTAGTCCTATTCCTAGTCCTAGCCCTATTCCTAGTCATATTCCAAGTCCTATTCCTAGTCCTATTCCTAGAACTCTTCTTAGTCCTATTCCAAGTCCTATTCCTATTCCTAGCCCTAGTCCTGTTTCTATTGCTAGTGCTATCCCAAATCTTAGTCTTATTTCTAGTTCTATTCCTAGTCCTAGTTTTATTCTTAGTCCTATCCCTAGCCCTATTCCTAGTCCTCTTGCTAGCCTTAATCCTAGTCCTATTCCTAGTCCTAATTTTACAATTTTAGGTTTTTCATACAAAACTAGATTTTTTCATTACAGACAATCATATAAACTTTCCACTGTACATTTGACTCCCAATGCAACTCTACAACGCTTAATTGTCAGTTATGCACATAAATGCATTTACGTAGTTCGTGTATTTGTATGTATATTATTATGCACCAATTATCATAATTTTTAATTGTGTTTATGTCTGTCTGTCCGTCCGTTTGGGTCGTAAAAATTTACGCATACGAGAACACAGAAAGAAGAAGAAGCAAAAAGCCGTTCGTTATGCAGTTTAAACATGTTTGTGCAGGCACAAACAAGCACTCACTCAATTCGAACAAACGTTTTTCTACCATGACGTACAATTTTGTACTTTTATTCACAAGTTCGAGATAAAAGTGGAAAATCCATTGCATGGCGATTTAAAATGCACCACAAGTTGATATAAATATGTTCGCATAGAAAAATAAATAACTTGGGAATTATTTTGTCTAGTTTTTGTTTTAAACTATTTTATCATTTAATTGTTGTACCGCATTACGATGGCGGCATTTTGTTCAAGTATGTTTATGTTTTTTGTTGTTTAGAATATGGTTTGCTTGTTGCCACTGCAACACCAGCTACAACTAAATGACGTGCACTTTATTGGTGACAATGAAATTTAATTAAACAAGAATTAAAACGATAAATATGTTGTCATTTGTTCGTTAGTTCGCTGGTTGCTTTGATAAAACGCATTAACAAATTTTTATTATTTGCTCTAGTTCTTTGAAAATAGTATGTTGGGTAATTGGTTTAATATGTATTTCTAAGGGTAATAAGAATATTTGTAGTTTTCAAAAGAAAATACTTTTTGAAAAAATGTCCCACCAATTCGACAAAAGTTCATAATAGGCGAGTATGTTATGATCTCTATCAAACGTTACCATGTCATATTTTTTATAGTCCTAATGCTAGTCAAATTTGCTAGTCATAACCCCAGTCTTATTTTTATTTCTAGTGCTATTCCTATTCTATTTCTAGACCTATTCATAGTCCAATTCCTAGTCCTAGTCCTATTATTAGTCCTATTCCTAGTCCTATTCCTAGTCCTATTCCTAGTCCTATTCCTAGTCCTATTCCTAGTCCTATTCCTAGTCCTATTCCTAGTCCTATTCCTAGTCCTATCCTAGTCCTATTCCTAGTCCTATTCCTAGTCTATTCCTAGTCCAGTCCTATTCCTAGTCCTATTCCTAGTCCTATTCCTAGTCCTATTCCTAGTCCTATTCCTAGTCCTATTCCTAGTCCTATTCCTAGTCCTATTCCTAGTCCTATTCCTAGTCCTATTCCTAGTCCTATTCCTATTCCTATTCCTAGTCCTAGTCCTAGTCCTAGTCCTAGTCCTAGTCCTATTCCTAGTCCTAGTCCTATTCCGATTCCTATTCCTAGTCCTATTCCTAGTCCTATTCCTAGTCCTATTCCTAGTCCTATTCCTAGTCCTATTCCTAGTCCTATTCCTAGTCCTATTCCTAGTCCTATTCCTAGTCCTATTCCTAGTCCTATTCCTAGTCCTATTCCTAGTCCTATTCCTAGTCCTATTCCTTGTCCTATTCTAGTCCTATTCCTAGTCCTATTCCTTGTCCTATTCCTAGTCCTATTCCTAGTTCTATTCCTAGTCCTATTCCTAGTCCTATTCCCAGTCCTATTCCTAGTCCTATTCCTAGTCCTATTCCTATTTCTATTCCTAGTCCTATTACTAGTCCTATTCCTAGTCCTATTCCTAGTCCTACTACTAGGACTAGTACTAGGACTAGTGCTATTCCTAGTTCTATTCCCAGTCCTATTCATAGTCATATTCCTAGTCTTATTCCTAGTCATATTTCTAGTCCTATTCCTTGTGCTAATCCTAATTATATTCCTAGCCCTATTACTAGTCCTTTTTCTAGTCTTTTTTCCAGTCCTATTCCTAGTCGTATTCCTTGTCTCATTCTGTCCTATTCCTATTCATATTCCTTTTCCTATTTCTAGTCATATTCCTATTCCCAACTTTATTGCTAGTCATATTCCATTTCCATTTATTTACATTCAAATTCCATATTTTTATACCCAAACATCTTAACAAGTCAAGTAAGTATGCCGCTTAAGCCTCTATAGGGGTTAGAAATTAAAATACACATTTTAATTGTCATCATAACGTGACAATGAATTATAATTACTCTTTTTGCTTTAATAGAAAGTATGATGTAAGTTTAGGTTTTATTACTATTTGAATAACTTTTTAGTTTTTGTATATCTTTTATATAAAAAGAACTATTTTATTGTTTATTATTACTATTATTATTTCCTCATAAAAGTTCAAAAACATTTTACAACTCTTTAATATCTCAAAAAAAAAAAAACTTAACACGAAAATACTAACTTTCTTTTGAAAGATTCTTCCCCTAAAGGTGACAACGAAATAAATTATTACATAGCTATAGCTTTCATTTGGTTGTCATATAAAAATCAATTAGTTGACAAATGACATTTACAATTACAATAATCGTTATTATGTTTCTATTTATTTGTTTTAAGCCATTTATCATTCTAGGAAAATATTAGGATTTAATTTTTGTTTGTAAATTTATTTATGGAAAAGATAGAAACAAATAAAGGGTTTGGAATAAGTTAACTGGGAATTTCATTCAGTTATATTAATATTATTTATAGTATTTGTTTAATTTCCCTTATAAAGATAATAACTATGAACTTAACTAACTTGTTGGTAATTAAATGTAGTTGTATGTTTGCTGAAGTGTTACCAAAATCACAATTTAAAATGTTTTTAATACCTCTTATCAATAAATAATCACATTTATAATATATGTAATAATAAAAGTACATGAATTTATGTTCAGTTATTATAGGTGTATAGTTAAAATGCCCCAGCAATTTCCGTTAGTATTTAAATCGTCAATTATTTCCGCGTATAGGTTTTTTAATGGTTACATGTGCTAGACAATATAGTACAATAACTGGATATAAATTATTTGTTGATGGTTAGTAGATGTATGCTACATTTGGTACAAATGTAAATGTAACCTGTTGAAATTTTAGTATTATTAATTGGACAAACATTTTGGCATGACTGATTTTCTTCTTTCAAAATGTGATCGGATAAGACAAAATATTATCCCCTATTCCAGGTCCTATTCCTAGTCCTATTCCTAGTTCTATTCCTAGTCCTATTCCTATTCCTAGTTCTATTCCTAGTCCTATTCCTATTCCTAGTCCTAGTGCTATTCCTAGTCCTATTCCTAGTCCTATTCCTAGTCCTATTCCTAGTCCTATTCCTAGTCCTATTCCTAGTTCTATTCCTAGTCCTATTCCTAATCCTATTCCTATTCCTAATCCTAATCCTAGTCCTAGTCCTAGTCCTAGTCCTACTCCTACTCCTACTCCTAGTCCTAGTCCTATTCCTAGTCTTATTCCTACTTCTATGCCTAGTCCTACTCCTAGTCTTATTCTTAGTTCTAGTCCTATTTCTAGTCCTAGTCCTATTCGTAGTCCTAGTCCTAGTCCTATTCCTAGTCCTATTCCTAGTCCTATTCCTAGTCCTATTCCTATTCCTATTCCTAGTCCTAGTCTTCTTCTTAGTTCTAGTCATATTCCTAGTCACATTCCTAGTCCTATTCCTAGTCCCATTCCTAGTCCTATTCCTAGTCCTATTCCTAGTCCTATTCCTAGTCCTATTCCTAGTCCTATTCCTAGTCCTAGTCCTATTCCTAGTCCTATTCCTATTCCTAGTCCTATTCCTAGTCCTATTCCTAGTCCTATTCCTAGTCCTATTCCTAGTCACATTCCTAGTCCTATTCCTAGTCCTATTCCTATTCTTAGTCCTATTCCTAGTCCTATTCCTAGTCCTATTCCTAGTCCTATTCCTAGTCCTATTCCTAGTCCTATTCCTAGTCCTATTCCTATTCCTAGTCCTATTCCTATTCCTAGTCCTATTCCTAGTCCTATTCCTAGTCCTATTCCTAGTCCTATTCCTAGTCCTATTCCTAGTCCTATTCCTAGTTCTATTCCTAGTCCTATTCCTACTCCTATTCCTAGTCCTATTCCTATTCCCATTCCTAGTCCTATTCCTAGTCCTATTCCTAGTCCTATTCCTAGTCCTATTCCTAGTCCTATTCCTAGTCATATTCCTATTCCTAGTCCTATTCCTAGTCCTATTCCTAGTCCTATTCCTAGTCCTATTCCTAGTTCTATTCCTAGTCCTATTCCTATTCCTAGTTCTATTCCTAGTCCTATTCCTATTCCTAGTCCCATTCCTAGTCCTATTCCTAGTCCTATTCCTAGTCATATTCCTATTCCTAGTCCTATTCCTAGTCATATTCCTAGTCCTAGTCCTATTCCTATTCCTAGTCCTATTCATATTCCTATTCCTAGTCCTATTCCTAGTCCTATTCCTAGTCCTATTCCTAGTCCTATTCCTAGTCCTATTCCTAGTCCTATTCCTAGTCCTATTCCTAGTCCTATTCCTAGTCTATTCCTAGTCTATTCTTAGTCCTATTCCTAGTCCTATTCCTATTCCTATTCCTAGTCCTATTCCTAGTCCTATTCCTAGTCCTATTCCTAGTCCCATTCCTAGTCCTATTCCTAGTCCTATTCCTAGTCCTATTCCTAGTCCTATTCCTAGTCCTATTCCTAGCCCTATTCCTAGTCCTATTCCTAGTCCTATTCCTAGTCCTATTCCTAGTCCTATTCCTAGTCCTATTCCTAGTCCTATTCCTAGTCCTACTCCTACTTCTATTTCTAGTCCTATTCCTAGTCCTACTCCTACTTCTATTCCTAGTCCCAGTCTTGGTCGAATTCGTTGTCATTGTCATTATCTTATTCCTAATCCTAGTCCTAGTTGTAGCCCTATTAATGGCGCTAGCTTTCACTTACCTCTCTCCTTAGTAGAGTACCCCACAAACCGACTAATACCTAAATTATTTCAAGTTAATTTAATTTCAAAACTAATTATAAAAAAAATACACAACATTAACTTTACGTCGACGTACTTGTGCTCACATGAATATATAAATATACATACAATATAAATAAATACTACTCTCGCAAATAATTGAATTTAAAATAAATACTAGTAACAATTTGCTGAGAATATTTAAATTATAAATTTGAATAAATTTACTCTCGCTTCAACATTCATACTAATGTCTATATTGTTATTTTACCAACCGGCCGGCTGGCAGCAGCAGTTCGGTCAGTAACTTATAAATATGTTCTAGATCTAGTATAAAAATCTATATAATAATAATAGCAGCAATAACAACAATAAAAAGACTTTGTTAATAATAAAATGTTACGCTTGAATGCAATAATATTTTAATTATTTCTCTAATGGAATAAAATGTGGACATTGGTCTTCTTGCTTGTACAGTATTCTTTTATACAATTATCTACGGTTTAATGCTGCATTTGTTTGTTGGTTTTTTATTTAGTTTGTATGTAAAATTATAAATTTCATGATCATTGTCAAATGGGGAGTGTGTGAGTGGTGCGCGACTGTTAAAAGTATTTCACACATGAGAGAAATTTTAATAGGGGGAACAAAACAAAAAAAAAAATAACACTTGTTTTAGTTTTTTCAAGCAAAACTTCAGATAGGTATAAAAAGAGGAATAAATATAGAAAAAACTTTTGACAAAGTTCCCTATTTTGATCTTGACCGATATCATCGATCACACATAGAAATTCTCTTCTATCATTTGTTGCCAACTTTGTAAAATTTTCCAATATTATTTATAAAAAAAAATATTAACAGATGTTCCAATTTAACTTAATATACTACTAAAATGGTTCATATTATATACTTTACAAAGGGATTATAACTAAGTGCACTCTTGAGGACTGATACTTCAGAAATTATACCCCCACGATTCATTAGTTAATTGAAGATAGCAATCAACTTTTAAAAAGTTGTTTTATTTTCCGAATAGTAAATAGTGTTTTTATAAATTTACGAGGGTAATTTGAAAATTACGAGTACAGAGCTTAAACCTCAATTTTGACTTTTATGATAAAACATTTCAAATGTGGCTAAAAAGTATGGTTTTTGCATATTTTTCTAAAAATTAAAGTTTTAATAAAATTTCGTAAATCACTAAAAATTAAATTTTTTAATAAAAGTTAAATTTTACAATAAAAATTCCACTTTTCAATAAAAATTAATTTTTTTGATAAAATATTAATTTTTTGATATAAAATTTGTCAATAAAAATGAAATTTTTTAATAAAAATTTATTTTTCAATAGAAATTAAATTTTTAGATAAAAATTCCATATTTCATTAAAAATTTTATATTTTACTAAAAAACTAAATTTTTGAAAAAAATTCGAAATTTATAAAAAATTTTAATTTTCACTAAAAATTGTCCATTTCAATAAAAATTCGATTTTTTTGTAAAAATTCCATTTTTTCAATAAAAATTAAATTTTTTAATAAAAATTAAATTTTTTGATAAAATTTTTTTCAATAAAAATTTATTTTTCAATAGAAATTAAATTTTTCAATAAAAATTCCATTTTTCATTAAAAATTGTATATTTTACTAAAAAACTAAATTTTTGAACAAAAATTCGAAATTTATAAAAAAATTTTAATTTTCACTAAAAATTGTCCTTTTCAATAAAAATCCGATTTTTCTGTAAAAAATTCAATTTTCAATAAAAATCCGTTTTTTTAATAATAGACTATAGACTGATCAATAGTCGAGAGATTAGACTAATCTACAGTCGAGATTATAGACTGATCTATAGTCGAGTCTATAGACTAGTTTATAGGTGAGACTATAGACTGATCTATAGTTGAGACTATAGAGTGATCTATAGTTGAGACTATAGACTGATCTATAGTTGAGACTGTAGACTGATCTATAGTTGAGACTATAGACTGACCTATAGTGGAGAATAATCACATATAGTCGAGACTATAAGCCGATATATAGTCGGGACTATAGACTGCTCTATAGTCGGGACTATAGACTGATCTATAATATAGACTATAGACTGATCTATAGTTGAGATTATAGACTGATCTATAGTTGAGATTATAGACTGATCTATAGTTGAGACATAATAGTCGAGACATTAGACTAATCTATAGTCGGGACTATAGACTGTTCTATAATATAGACTATAGACTGATCTATAGTTGAGATTATAGACCGATCTATAGTTGAGATTATAGACTGATCTATAGTTGAGATTATAGACTGATCTATAGTTGAGATTATAGACTGATCTATAGTTGAGATTATAGACTGATCTATAGTTGAGACATAATAGTCGAGACATTAGACTAATCTATAGTCGAGACTATAGACTGATCTATAGTCGAGTTTATAGACTGGTCTATTGTTGAGACTATAGATTGATCTATAGTTGAGACTATAGACTGATCCATAGTTGAGACTATAGACTGATCTATAGTTGAGACTTTAGACTGACCTATAGTTGAGACTATAGACTGATCTATAGTTGAGACTATAGACTGATCTATAGTGGAGACTATGTACTGATTTACAGGGGATACTATACACATATAGTCGAGACTATAAACCGATATATAGTCGAGAATATAGACTGATCTATAGTCGAGACTATAGACTGATTTATAGTTGAGATTATAGACTGATCTATAGTTGAGACTATACACAGATCTAAAGTTGAAGCTATAGAATAACCTATAGTTCAGACTATAGACTGATATAGTTTAGACTATAAACCGACAATAGTCGAGACTATAGGATGATCTATAGTCGAGACTATAGACCCGTCTATAGTCAAGACCAATATTTAAATTCGATAAAAAAAATATGGAAAAATAAAGTAAAGCTTTAAAATTTGTTAAAAAACATAGAGCTAACCTAATACACCCTGCCCTTAAAGGGTTAACAATTAAAAAACTTTTACTCTTTTCAAAATGTTTTTAAATAAAAATATATCAAAAACCAAAATACAAAATAACATAATTTTTTTGGTAAGAAATATAACCCTGAAACCTAATGAAGTTCACTTCAAAAATTCACTACTTGCGCTTTTATTTTAGAAAAAAATACTTTGTATATAATAAAAATACAATAAGCTATTTCTGGTTTTTTATGAGAAAGCTTTAAATAGTTTACAAACATAATTTAACACATTATTAAACACTAGTTGTGATAACAAAAAACAAGTTTTAATTATATCAATTTTTGTTAAAAATAAATAGCTAAATATAAATGGTTTCTTAGGAAAACATTTGGGAGAAAAAACAGAAATTACCTATAAATAATAAAAATAGTTCAGCTTTCTCTGTGAAATGAAGGTGGAGTAATTAGTGTTGGAAATCTACAACAGAAATAATTGAAATATGTTTGTATTTGAACAGGCTGTAATGAAATAATTACTACAATAGTTAGAAATAAAAATTACAAAACAAAAATTGAAAAAAGACGAAGCCTAGATACTATTCTAAAGAATTGAGTAGCGCTCTCTGGGCTAAAACTTTGTTGATCTGTGTTATGATAGTTTCATTGAAATATATTCAGTCAATTATCTACAAACAGTTTATTATTTATATTATAATAATCTATAATCTCTTAACAATTAAAAGTTTAGTTTAATAAACGCAAAATTGAATTTTAAATAAAACAATTTTCTATAATTCAACAGAAAAATTTGAAACAAAAGTAGTTTTTATTTGAAAAATGTTAAGCCTTTTTTGTATAATTTAGCTATTTTATTTAAATAACAATATTAAAATAGACTTAATATTCGAGTTTTTTCCATCGAATATTAATAAATAATAATTTTATTATAAAAATAACAATAGAACTCAAGAAATAGACCACCAACTAGGTTAGATATTTGTTGACAGTTAAAAACTCCAATTTGTAAACAAATTAGATACACAACTATTACAAATGTAGAGTCTATACAAATTAGTTACACTGTAGTAATGAAAGAAAAGCCAAATTTATTACTCTCCCAAAATTAGATTTTCTAAAAAAAATAACAAAGATAAGCGACAAAAAAATATTCACAAACAGAAAGATTCATTGAAGTCTGGGAAAGATTGTTTATATAATTAAACAAATAAACCCCGTTTAAACAATTAAAAAATTCATTCAATTGTTTTTCTTTTTAAAAGTAAAAGCTAAAAGTATGACTCATTTTCAGTTATAACTGCTTGTCTGTAGATATAGTTAGAAACTTTAAAACATCTCTATATGCATACATTTCTTAATTGATTCTATTTGTTTACGTATGCTGTTTTTTTATTTAAAATATATTTTTTCTTTTTTGTCTCCTCTTAGTTTCTACTATTCTAAGACTCATTTGTTAATCTTTAATCATTCAAAGTAAGAAAAAAAACAGACTCAAACTACTGACCCACATCATGCAAAAAATAAAGACCTAAAATAACGTATGAGAAAAATATACGTAAGAAACTAAAATAACGCCACTTGATGATGATTATGGCAAAAACAACTAAAGTTTTGTAAATTAATTTTTCTATTTCTTAATTCTATTTTTTTTACTTTTAACGTTGAGTCCGCTGGTCTTACTTTGTAAATTGTTTATAGAAATTTGTTTTTATTTTAATTAAAGTTGAATTTAAAAAGATTTTTGGTGTGCGATAAGTAAATGATAGATGATGAAACAAGAATTGTGGGTTTTGTTGAACATTTTTATATTGAAAATAAGTTTTGTTGAAAATGAAACTAGTGTTTCGTGTATTTAAATAATATCAAGAGAATAAAAGTAAATTAAAATCTTGACCCAACTAAAAAAGAAAAGAAGAACTCAAGTTCAAGGGATATTATAAACTAAAGTGATCCCACTAAACTCAGAAATTTATTAGAATTACTTTCTGTTAAAACTAATCTCTCACAATTTGGATTCTAGAACTTATATAGTCTAGTCTATAGTCCAGTCTATAGTCTAGTCTATAGTCTAGTCTATAGTCTAGTCTATAGTCTAGTCTATAGTCTAGTCTATAGTCTAGTCTATAGTCTAGTCTATAGTCTAGTCTATAGTCTAGTCTATAGTCTAGTCTATAGTCTAGTCTATAGTCTAGTCTATAGTATAGTCTATAGTCTAGTCTATAGTATAGTCTATAGTAGTCTATAGTCTAGTCTATAGTCTAGTCTATAGTCTAGTCTATAGTCTAGTCTATAGTCTAGTCTATAGTAGTCTATAGTCTAGTCTATAGTCTAGTCTATAGTCTAGTCTATAGTCTAGTCTATAGTCTAGTCTATAGTCTAGTCTATAGTCTAGTATAGTCTAGTCTATAGTCTAGTCTATAGTCTAGTCTATAGTCTAGTCTATAGTCTAGTCTATAGTCTAGTCTATAGTCTAGTCTATAGTCTAGTCTATAGTCTAGTCTATAGTCTAGTCTATAGTCTAGTCTATAGTCTAGTCTATAGTCTAGTCTATAGTCTAGTCTATAGTCTAGTCTATAGTCTAGTCTATAGTCTAGTCTATAGTCTAGTCTATAGTCTAGTCTATAGTCTAGTCTATAGTCTAGTCTATAGTCTAGTCTATAGTCTAGTCTATAGTCTAGTCTATAGTCTAGTCTATAGTCTAGTCTATAGTCTAGTCTATAGTCTAGTCTATAGTCTAGTCTATAGTCTAGTCTATAGTCTAGTCTATAGTCTAGTCTATAGTCTAGTCTATAGTCTAGTCTATAGTCTAGTCTATAGTCTAGTCTATAGTCTAGTCTATAGTCTAGTCTATAGTCTAGTCTATAGTCTAGTCTATAGTCTAGTCTATAGTCTAGTCTATAGTCTAGTCTATAGTCTAGTCTATAGTCTAGTCTATAGTCTAGTCTATAGTCTAGTCTATAGTCTAGTCTATAGTCTAGTCTATAGTCTAGTCTATAGTCTAGTCTATAGTCTAGTCTATAGTCTAGTCTATAGTCTAGTAAGTCTAGTCTATAGTCTAGTCTATAGTCTAGTCTATAGTCTAGTCTATAGTCTAGTCTATAGTCTAGTCTATAGTCTAGTCTATAGTCTAGTCTATAGTCTAGTCTATAGTCTAGTATAGTCTAGTCTATAGTCTAGTCTATAGTCTAGTCTATAGTCTAGTCTATAGTCTAGTCTATAGTCTAGTCTATAGTCTAGTCTATAGTCTAGTCTATAGTCTAGTCTATAGTCTAGTCTATAGTCTAGTCTATAGTCTAGTCTATAGTCTAGTCTATAGTCTAGTCTATAGTCTAGTCTATAGTCTAGTCTATAGTCTAGTCTATAGTCTAGTCTATAGTCTAGTCTATAGTCTAGTCTATAGTCTAGTCTATAGTCTAGTCTATAGTCTAGTCTATAGTCTAGTCTATAGTCTAGTCTATAGTCTAGTCTATAGTCTAGTCTATAGTCTAGTCTATAGTCTAGTCTATAGTCTAGTCTATAGTCTAGTCTATAGTCTAGTCTAGTCTAGTCTATAGTCTAGTCTATAGTCTAGTCTATAGTCTAGTCTATAGTCTAGTCTATAGTCTAGTCTATAGTCTAGTCTATAGTCTAGTCTATAGTCTAGTCTATAGTCTAGTCTATAGTCTAGTCTATAGTCTAGTCTATAGTCTAGTCTATAGTCTAGTCTATAGTCTAGTCTATAGTCTAGTCTATAGTCTAGTCTATAGTCTAGTCTATAGTCTAGTCTATAGTCTAGTCTATAGTCTTGTCTATAGTCTAGTCTATAGTCTAGTCTATAGTCTAGTCTATAGTCTAGTCTATAGTCTAGCAACAATGTTTAAAACCCAATTCTTTCTAAAAAAGCGCGAACAACTTACAGCCTTTTCTCATAAAACATAAAATATCTTAGAAGCTTCTCAATTCTAAATATAAATATGTATTCACAATTATTAAAATCTATTAGTTTAGTTGAAAACTAGATGCCAAACTTTAAGAATATTTTCTTTCCGAAAACCAAAATCAAATGGACAATACTGTTTTACACTATAACGCTAATTATAATTGATGATTTTTTTCGTTTGTTATTATTTAAACAACAAATTATAACATTATTAACAATGATAAATGATGGTTAAAGAATTATGCACAAAAAAACTAAGCCCTTATAGGTATTCAAAACAATTCCCATAGCATTGAAATATAAAATCCCTTATGGGCAGAGACAAGAAAATCAACATTAAAATAAAAATACTAATAATACAAATACCTATGTTGTATCGAACTTACCTCTTTAACTTTTAAACGTTTATCCTCTACACTGGGATCGGTGTCGGCATGACCGCCCAAGGGCATTTGTAAATTAACATTGCCAATGGGTAGATTATTATTGTCCAAAGCAGCTACATCATCCGGAGAATGATTGTTGTCATTTGTTTTGGCTGCATTATTAAGGGGTGGAGCGGCTCCCTGTTGCATACCAGTTTCATCGAATTGCTGTGGCGAATCCTGTTCAGCGGCAGCATCGTTACCACTATCCATGGTGTCTTGTTGTAATTGTGGTTTATCCATTATTTCACCCAATTCTTCTTTAATTTTAGCTTGCAATTTAACACGATCATTAATGAAATGGGGATCAAGATCTTTGGGCGAATGGGCCGCCAAGGGTGGTGCCGGTATAAAGATTTCAGGACCGGCTTTTTGAAATTGTTTGTAAACCTTTAAAACACGTTCGCCACCAAAGTTGTCGGGTAACAGGAATATGCCACCAAAACAAAGCAGGCACAGAGTGGCCAATACCAAACCAATGAGGCATTTTTCCTTGGAATGGAAATTTGATTTACGGCCAATGGGCCCTATGCGATACATATTAACGTTTTATGGAGTTAAAAATGACGCCACAAAAGTTGTTAGGTGGTGATGGGGGTGTTTTTCGCAGATGCCGTGTAGGGAATATATATAACTATGGAAGTTTTCCTTTGGTTGTTATTTTTATGAGTACTTGTTTGTTTTAGTTGTTATTGTTTTCTTATTTTTGCAAACGCAGGCGTAAACTAAAATGTCAATAATTTGAAGGTGGCTCAGCTGGTTGGAGCACGCACAGCCAAAAAATACCGGTATGATGGGATACAAAAGAAAAAAACTGAAAAGCGACAATGATTTTTTCTTTATTTTATTATTTATGTATGATTTTTTTCACTTTATTGTTGTTTTTTTACACACACAAAAAAAAGTTTAATATTTTTGTTGAAAACTTTCACCTTATTTAGAAAAAAATACACTTTAATTTTTTGCTTCTCTTTTTATTATCTTATTTCTTTAAATTTGTGTTATATTTTTGCACAGTAGGCAAAATTTGTATGTTTAAAAATTATTTCACAAAACTAAAACATTAAATTTGAAAATTTATCAAAAAAAATATTAATACACACACGATATATCAGACAAAAAAAACCGCTGAAAATAGCTTCACCACTAGCAAACAATGAAGGCGCGAGACTGTCACGTTGACAGCTCCAGAAAACACAAAAAAAAACAACACTCAGAAATTATTTAGCAAGCTCTCCCCACTTTTTTACACACAAAAAAATTAAAAACAGAAAAGGAGCAATAACACATACAACAAAAACAATGCTAAACAAAGAGTCATAACAAAAAGAAATAAAGAATAATAACCAAGAGTACAAAAACACAAAGTCAAAAATGAAAATAATAAACCGTTAATTTTTCTGGTACAAAAAAGCCATCATCAATAATCTATTCCAAATAGGTAATTAAATTTTAATTATTTTTCTTTTTGTTAAAAAATTACAAGTATTTAATTACTATTTCTTGTTTTTTTGTAATATATTGTTTATATTTTACATTTCTTTGTTATTTCGGTTTAAGCACCTTTCGTTTTTTCTTGTTTGCTGTTTTTTTACCAGTGTCTCATTTTCGTTTACATACATACACACATACACCTTGCACCATTCACTGGGTTTTCTATTTAAAGTTTATATTTGCGAAATATTTCGCTTTAAACCGCGTAAATAGCTGTAATCTTATTACAAACACTTGTTTCTTTTAATTATATATTAATCTGTTTTAATTTTAATTGATAGCCATTTATTTATGACAAAGAATTGGGAGATGCTGCACACTTTAAAACGAAATGCAAAAAACTAATTTTCTCTTGTTGGGATTTTTCTTATTCTGACATTTTTCTTTAGTAAGAGTTGGTAACGCTACCAGATGGTTTTTGTTTTCAACTAAAGGGATAAATTTGGCGTTTATTCTAATTGGAATTTTATTAATTACATTCCTAGTTTCGATTTTTAATTGTACGCCTAGCAGAGTAAAATGTTTTTCTTTTAGTTTGATAAGTGTGAGACTAAAAATTTTGTAGCGTAGCCAATATCCGATTCATCAAAGAGGAGAAAATTCCTACAACCTGTATATACCAAAAATGTGTTTATAAGTAATATCTAGGTTCGAGCTATGTTCCGAAAAACGTTTTATATAAAAAATGTTCTACGAAAAAATCTGCTCCAACACAAATTCAAATTTTCTGTAGTAAAACTATTGTAAAATATTTAGATGTATATTTTCTATAAGAATCGTTGAACGCAAACTATTTATAGAATCTGTTGTACAAAAATTTTGTACAAAGCAACTTTGTATTAAAAAATCATATTAAAATTACAATATATTTTCCATCTCTGATCAGGCAACATATTTTTCCTTTTTGTGATTTTCACTGATGTTACGAGTGTATGGCAACATTTGCGAGTAAAAGAAAACCAAAATCAAAATATATACGAACAGAAACAAAAGATAACACTGAAAATTCAATTAATTAAATGAAAAAATACAAATTGAAGAAACTCCATTTATAATCATGTCTGAAGTGTGTATTGATTAAATCAAAATAAATAAAAAACGTGAAAAATAAAACTAGTAGCAATAAAAAGAAATATTATGGAACCCAGCATCAAATCGGAACCATGTGAAACCTTATATTGTGAACAGGAAAATGTCAATGGCTTAAAAATGCATAATCCACAAAGTTTTAAAAGGACTTATGAGGACATGATAGATAGCAGAAACAAACAGCAACATCATCTAAATAACTTTTTTGGAGAAGTTAATCATGTAACGCATCAGATAGACATAGAAAATGGAGGTTTTAATCAGGATTATAATATGCCAGAGCCAAATGCATCGGACTGCAGACGTTTAAAGAAATATAAAAGATTAGAAGAAAGTGTGTTATTTAATCCGCCGTTTTTTAAATTGGTAACATGTTTAAAACAATATTTCTTTAATTGACATTTAATCTATGTAATTTATATTTAAGGTGGAGAAATTTATATTACCCTCTCAAAAAGAAGCTATTGCAGCTCGCTGCTACTCTTGCGGCAGAATCGTAAAAGGCAATCGTGGTATTTCATCCAATTTTATTAAACACATGAAACGTGCCCATCCGGAGGTTAATCAAATCTATGAAAACTATAAAGCAAACAAAATAAAAGCAGGTCAATTTCCCACATTAGCACAAATACAAGAAACACACAATATAACTACAAATTTTGCATCAGGTTCAGACAGTAATGCTACCTATTCAAATGATGAGACTAATCAATTTAATGAAGTGGATAATCCATTAGAAGCTGCCTCCGCCATTTATGAGTCTTCAGATGAAAATGAGGAAGAGAAAAGTTGCCTAGAATCACAAATGCAAGTAGTAAATAATAAAGAATGTGTTGCTCAGGAATTACCAGCAAAAACTTTAGAAATATTTCAACAAATGATAGAGGAAAAATTGCAAAATTATGTCCAACAAAAGGAATATGAACAATTAAATGGTAAATTCAATGAAATAATTAAAAAACAACCTTCTAGTGATGTTAGCACGTATGCAGCTTTATCGGAACTAAAAATAGAAGTGGATAATTTAAAAAAGGAATGTGCTGTATTACGTGTATCCCTACAACAGTCTCAGGCTAGTAAACGCCAGCTTCAGAACGAACTACTAACCGTGGAGCGACAACTGCACGAACGTAAACTTATTATAAGAAATCTAACAGTAAAAGATCCGGAGCAACCTTTAGAATCGGTACAAAAATTATTAAGCAACATTTTGAATCTAGACGATATCAAAATTCTGAATTGCTGCGTAATACCCTCAACGAAAACCACTGCTAACACAGCGCACAAAGAGTGCCTATCCATAGAATTAGATAGTTCTCAAGCTTGTAAGGCCATATTACGTCAAGCGCATAAATTAAAAGATACGGGCATTTTTATAGAACCGGAAATATCGCCGTTTCAGCGTAAACGTAAAAATAAATTAATGGTTTTGCGCAAAGAGCTGCTGAGACGTAAGCCCGAACTTAAAGTATTAGTACGCGATACCACCCTAGTGGTAGAGAGTAAGAAATTTTATTGGGATGATGTGGAAGGTTTGTGTCATGACGGTAAATATGAGGCAATTGAGTTGAATGGTGTTGACTACTTGAAACAGCTTAGTGGTTTAGACTTAAGGGAATTTATAAATGTTTTACAAAATTATAATATACAAATAAGTTAAAATATTCAGTACATATATATTTTACAATTTTTTATTTAATATTTATTGATTTTCCAAAAAAGTTGTTTTTTTAATCTGAAAAAACAAAAAATAAAGAGATTTTTAACGGAAAAATTCAACTAGTCATGATAAAAATATTGTTCTAATATGACTAGAGTGGAGTTTAGAGTAATTCACTTACACTCAAATATGTACTCAAGTATGTATTATATTTTCTTATTATATTATCTTATATAAATGTTTATATTTCAACAAAAAATGTATTAAAAATTTTACAAAAAATATTTTAAAAATAACGATAATTTTTTTTTACATATACTCAATCATTTGTTTACATTTGCTCTGCTATCAATACCTACTGAATGCCACACATACACCGAACAGCTGTTTAGTTAATTTCAACATTTGTAAACTTCATAATTTCCTAATATTAGTTTATTTTTTCAATTTCTTTATATAAATTGGGTAAAAGTAAATAAAAAACATGGATAAATGGTTAAGAGATCGTTTGTCCACTTGTCTGGATTTTGAGGTACCAGATGATATGATTAAATACATTACATCCATGAAATCTTCCGCCGAGTTCGATGAATATTTCGAGACTTTACTGAATAAGGAATGTGAAGATCATCGTTTGTTTTTGGCCGATTGTAAGCAACGGCTTTTTAGTAAAGCTTTGCCCAATAAAAAGCAACAACAAAATTCCAACAATCAAAAGAAAGCTCAGGGACATGGCTCTTCCGTAATAAAACAAAATCAATCTAGTAATAGTGGTGCAAGCCACAAAACGCATGATACTAATCAAAATCAACAGAACCCCCAGTCACAAGGAGCAAAAAAGAAAACCAAGTATGTAAACCTATATACCAACGATGGTAATGTAGTCGATGCCATAATGCTAAAGGGAAGACGTCTGTGCAACTGCCAGGCCTCTCAGCATAAACTGGTAAACAATTGCCTAAGTTGTGGACGTATTGTTTGCGAACAAGAGGGTAGTGGTCCTTGCCTGTTTTGTGGTGAGCTAGTGTGCACCAATGAGGAACAGCAGGTACTCAAATCATCAGGCAAGAAAAGTGACAATCTCTTAAAATCCCTCAAAGAAAAGGGTGGTGGAGAAGCCTTGAAAAAGGCCCTAGAACAAAGAGATCGTTTGTTGGAGTACGATCGTAATAGTGAAAAACGTACCACTGTAATCGATGATGAACTGGACTATTTTGAAGAAAACTCAGTTTGGCACTCAGACGAACAGAGAGCCACATTTGAAAGGCTGAAGCAGGAAATGCATGAACGTAAACATGCCAGTCGTATTAATCGTAAGATTAAAGTGGATTTTGCCGGTCGTGAAGTGGATGAAGACGTTACAATTAGCCAGGAATATGAACGTGAAGTTTTGAAAGAGGTGGCTGCAGTGAATGCTAAAAGTGATAATTCTAGCAATTGGTCTAACCGCAAACATTCAGACAAATGGGATAATACTGGTGATTTAGATCCCAATATGGATGCTGCTCGCCCTATTTATAGACCATCTGCGGAGGAAAAGGCCAAGAGTAAGGGTCCTACTTTGAATGATGGTCTTGAGCGCATTTATAATCGGGTGCAGGATAAGGAACTAATGGAAATGCAAGATATGCGACAGTGTTTGTCTATGCATCAACCATGGGCGTCATTGCTGGTAGCAGGGATTAAGAAGTGAGTAGATTTTTTAAAACAGATAGATAGATAGATAGATAGATAGATAGATAGATAGATAGATAGATAGATAGATAGATAGATAGTAGGATAGATAGATAGATAGATAGATAGATAGATAGATAGATAGATAGATAGATAGATAGATAGATAGATAGATAGATAGATAGATCGAAAGATAGATAGATCGAAAGATAGATAGATCGAAGATAGATAGATAGATAGATAGATAGATAGATAGATAGATAGATAGATAGATAGATAGATAGATAGATAGATAGATAGATAGATAGATAGATAGATAGATTGATAGATAGATAGATAGATAGATAGATAGATAGATAGATAGATAGATAGATAGATAGATAGATAGATAGATAGATAGATAGATAGATAGATAGATAGATAGATAGATAGATAGATAGATAGATAGATAGATAGATAGATAGATAGATAGATAGATAGATAGATAGATAGATAGATAGATAGATAGATAGATAGATAGATATATAGATAGATAGATAGATAGATAGATAGATAGATAGATAGATAGATAGATAGATAGATAGATAGATAGATAGATAGATAGATAGATAGGTAGATAGATAGATAGATAGATAGATAGATAGATAGATAGATAGATAGATAGATAGATAGATAGATAGATAGATAGATAGATAGATAGATAGATAGATAGATAGATAGATAGATAGATAGATAGATAGATAGATAGATAGATAGATAGATAGATAGATAGATAGATAGATAGATAGATATATAGATAGATAGATCGATAGATAGATAGATAGATAGATAGATAGATAGATAGATAGATAGATAGATAGATAGATAGATAGATAGATAGATAGATAGATAGATAGATAGATAGATAGATAGATAGATAGATAGATAGATAGATAGATAGATAGATAGATAGATCGAAGATAGATAGATAGATAGATAGATAGATAGATAGATAGATAGATAGATAGATAGATAGATAGATAGATAGATAGATAGATAGATAGATAGATAGATAGATAGATAGATAGATAGATAGATAGATAGATAGATAGATAGATAGATAGATAGATAGATAGATAGATAGATAGATAGATAGATAGATAGATAGATAGATAGATAGATAGATAGATAGATAGATAGATAGATAGATAGATAGATAGATAGATAGATAGATAGATAGATAGATAGATAGATAGATAGATAGATAGATAGATAGATAGATAGATAGATAGATAGATAGATAGATAGATAGATAGATAGATAGATAGATAGATAGATAGATAGATAGATAGATAGATAGATAGATAGATAGATAGATAGATAGATAGATAGATAGATAGATAGATAGATAGATAGATAGATAGATAGATAGATAGATCGAAAGATCGAAAGATCGAAGATAGATAGATAGATAGATAGATAGATAGATAGATAGATAGATAGATAGATAGATAGATAGATAGATAGATAGATAGATAGATAGATAGATAGATAGATAGATAGATAGATAGATAGATAGATAGATAGATAGATAGATAGATAGATAGATAGATAGATAGATAGATAGATAGATAGATAGATAGATAGATAGATAGATAGATAGATAGATAGATAGATAGATAGATAGATAGATAGATAGATAGATAGATAGATAGATAGATAGATAGATAATAGATAGATAGATAGATAGATAGATAGATAGATGGACAGATAGATAGATATATAGATAGATAGATAGATAGATAGATAGATAGATGGACAGATAGATAGATATATAGATAGATAGATAGATAGATAGATAGATAGATAGATAGATAGATAGATAGATAGATAGATAGATAGATAGATAGATAGATAGATAGATAGATAGATAGATAGATAGATAGATAGATAGATAGATAGATAGATAGATAGATAGATAGATAGATATATAGATAGATAGATCGATAGATAGATAGATAGATAGATAGATAGATAGATAGATAGATAGATAGATAGATAGATAGATAGATAGATAGATAGATAGATAGATCGAAAGATCGAAAGATCGAAAGATAGATAGATAGATAGATAGATAGATAGATAGATAGATAGATAGAATAGATAGATAGATAGATAGATAGATAGATAGATAGATAGATAGATAGATAGATAGATAGATAGATAGATAGATAGATAGATAGATAGATAGATAGATAGATAGATAGATAGATAGATAGATAGATAGATAGATAGATAGATAGATAGATAGATAGATAGATAGATAGATAGATAGATAGATAGATAGGTAGATAGATAGATAGATAGATAGATAGATAGATAGATAGATAGATAGATAGATAGATAGATAGATAGATAGATAGATAGATAGATAGATAGATAGATAGATAGATAGATAGATAGATAGATAGATAGATGGACAGATGGACAGATAGATAGAATTGGAAACCTATCGAAACAAGATTTATTTTTCATAAAATTTCTTCCAATTCAGACATGAAGGCCGCGTCTGGTACAGTGAACATCGTGGTCGCTTATGGATTGCTTCTACAGCCAAAGAGCCTAGACCAGAAGAAATACAAGAACTAGAAAACTTTTATAAACAATACTACAATGGTAAATGATTTAAAAAATCTAAAAACAGTAATTTTTACAATCTATAACTGCAGATCCCACAATAAAATTTCCCGAACATTACCCCACCGGTTGTCTATTGGGTTGTGTTAAGGTTGATGATTGTTTGGCCCAGGAAGAGTATCGTGATATTTATCCTGAAGGAGAATCCGAATCTCCTTATGTTTTTGTTTGCTCAAACTTTGAACAATTGCCGGTAGTGTTTCCAATTAAGGGACAACATAAGATATGTAAGTAGTGAATAAAGAAGTTGAAATTATTTCCTACATTTTAAATTAAAAAAAATTAAATTCTTTTAGATCAAATTGATCCTAAAATACACAATGCTGCCTGTAAAACTTTAATGCGTTTAAAAGCTACCAAGGGTTAAGTGGAAAGAGGAAGAAGTGAAATCATTCCCGGAGAAAAGATTATACATATAAAAAAAACTAATTCGAAAACTGGATTTTAGCACTGAATTATTATTTCCGCCATTAGAAGTGGTTAAAATTTTCTTATATGAATAAAAATATTGAGATAAATTAATAAAATATTTTATTTAATTCTACTAATTACATTTTCAAAATAATATTACTTAAAATAAAACATTTTTCAAAAAGCAGAGTTCTGTAATGTGAACACAATAAGATTCCCAGCACAATTTCAATTCTAAAATACATTTCATGCTATATTTTCAATTTAAATGGCAACTCTAATAAAATCCGATTGTATTAGATAAAAATAAGTCTCTGCTGATTCCACTCCACTCAGTCCATAACAAACAGTTGATCGTACAAGTGTTTTTTGTTAACTTATCTCTCACATTCTCAACGAAATTCATCTTTATTAACAATTATTTGTTTTATTAATTCAAAAACAAAAATGACTATGAACTGGGAATTAACTGAGGCCGAGGAAAAGGCAATAGCAAAAGAATTTCTAAGACTAGGAGGTAAATTTCAATCAATTCATTTATAATAAAAGTAATTTTACATAATATACTTTTATAATGTTCGTGTAAACAAACTTGCATGTCATCATTGAATTCTTATTACAAATAATTAATAAACAATTGTGACGCTCTTGATAGATAACACTTACTTGGATCATGCGGGCAGTACATTGTATGCGGAAAGTCAAATAGACGCCTGTGGCAAATTATTAAAAGAGAATTTATTTTGTAATCCTCATACCTGTAAAATAACAGGAGATTTTGTTGATCAAGTACGTTATAGGTAAAGTTTTCCATACATTATGTGTTTCACATTTATAAATTCTATTTTAAACCTAGAATTCTGCAACATTTCAATGCCGATCCTTTGGAATACACGGTTGTTTTCACTAACAATGCTACGGCTGCCATAAAAACTGTTGCTGAAACATTTGATTTTGGCGATGAAGAACAGGGTAATTTTTATTATTGTCAGGAAAATCACACTTCTGTGTTGGGTATGCGTGAAGTGATTAAAACTGAAAATAAATATGTCTTGACGCAACCAGAGCTATTGGAAAATCTGCTAAAGAGGAAAGAGTTACTGGCTGGTACTAGTAAAGGCAACTCCTTGTTGGTGTTTTCCGCTCAATGTAATTTTAGTGGCTATAAAATGCCGCTGGATTTAATAGATGTTGTCCACCGGCAGGGTTTATTTAAACGGGGCACTCAAATTTCCGGCCAACCTCAAAAAAAGCAGCCAGATTTAAACAATTTTTATATATTCCTAGATTCAGCAGCTTTTGCGGGTTCTAGTTATTTGAATGTAGGTAAATATAAACCCGACTTCTTTTGCGTATCGTTTTACAAATTGTTTGGGTAAGTTTCATTTCATTTAGCATTTAAACAAAATTTATTGAGCACAAAATTAATTGCTTTATTTTTAGCTATCCCACTGGTGTGGGAGCTTTAATTGTCAGCAGACGCGGTCAATCTGTGCTACGTAAGCAATATTACGGTGGCGGTACCGTCAATATAGCCATGACTAGAGAAAATTTCCATGAAAAACGCGTGGGCTTCTCATCACACTTTGAAGATGGCACTTTATCCTTTCTAACCATTGCAAATTTGTTAGAAGGCTTCAACACTTTGGAGCGTTTGATACCTGCAAGAGAGGGGAAGAATACAATGGAAAGAATTAGTCGTTATGTCTATCAATTAGCTAAATATGGTTATGAAAAGTTAAGCATTTTAAAGCACGCAAATGGCCAGCCTTTGATAAAGTTTTACAATCATAATGGTTATGACGATTACAAATATCAAGGTGGTGTAATTACCTTTAATATTCTACATGAAGATGGTGCCTTTGTAGGGTTTGCTGAAGTAGCCTGTCTGGCAGCTGTTTTTAATATACAACTACGTACTGGTTGCTTTTGTAATCCAGGAGCTTGTCAATGGTTTTTACAACTGTCCAATAGTGATATACGTAAACAGTATGATTCGGGTCATATATGCAGTGATTACAATGATTTGATTGAGGGACAACCCACTGGAGCCGTAAGGGTGGCATTTGGTTACATGACACGTAAACAAGATGTAGACAAACTTGTTAAAATGATAGAGGAGTGCTATTTATCCTCATCTGAGGAGAGATTAAAACACATGGATCTGGAGAAATTACCAAAAGAATTGAAACATATACCGGAACGAATGAAGCCACAATTGAAAGAAATTTGCATTTATCCCATTAAATCATGTGGAGCATTTAAGGTTAAAGATTCTTGGCCTTTAACAAATACTGGTTTCCTGTATGATCGTGGTTGGATGATAGTGGATGCTGCCGGTATGGCCATAACACAAAAACATCAAACTAGATTGTGTTTAATTAAACCTATCATTAATCAACAAAAAGGTTTTATGGAATTGACTTTTACGGGCATGAAATCGGTGCAAGTGAGTTTAGAAGTGTCTAAGGAACAGATAGATTTTATTAATAACTCCTTCTGTCAAAGTAAAGTTTGCGATGATTTAGTGTCCGGTTATGATTGTGGCGAGGAGGTGGCTCTGTGGTTGAGTGATTGCTTAGAAACACCGGGTTTAAGATTAATCAAACAGTATGCCCAAAGACGTGCTCAAACTGGTACGGCCAAAGATATAGCCTTAGCTAATCAGGCACAATTTCTATTAATTAATCGTTCCTCAGTAAGATGGCTGACACATAAAATTACTTCGGAAAAGGAACCATTGGATGGTAGTGTTGAAAGATTTAGAGCAAATTTAGTGATCGAGACTCCTATTGCCCTGGAGGAGACAGAATTTGATATGTTGACCATAGGTGAAACGGTTTTTAAAGTAGATGGCTTTTGCACTCGCTGCCAAATGATTTGCATAGACCAGCATACGGGACAGAAAACAGCAGAACCTTTACGAACTATTGCTCGTGAGTTTAATGGTAAAATACGTTTTGGTATTTATCTTTCACTACTTAAGGTACCCGAAAATGAGACGCAAATTTCGTGCGGTGATAGAATTATCATAAAAAAGAAAAATATTGAATAAACTAAACTACTAAATACAAATGTACATAATTTTATTTCAAGCATTATTTAAGAAACTAAAGCTTTTCTTAAAAAATATTTTTTTTTCGTAAAGTATGATGATTACAGATTTGAGCTATTTCCTCAATTATTAGGTTTTTTGATAAAGTTCAATTTTCAATGAAAAATATGAATGATCATATATTTTCGGTATTTTCTCAATTGGACCTTAAGTTTTTAATTGGGAAACGACAATGTATGTGATTTTCATTATCTTCACGTTTGGACATTTATTGAAAGGAAATTATACGGTGGAAGAATGTATGTAAATAGGTGCGTGCCTCAAATCAAAATCTAATATTCATTAAACTCATCATATCATGTAAATCGATTCAATAGTTGTACCATAAAATGTAACAAGCAAGCTGAGTTATATAATTATAACATCAGGACGGTTTTACTAATTATTTACATAATTTGTGCTTTAGAGTGTTAAAAGTATCACATTATCATACAATTTTCTATAGGTTGTTCTTTTGTCTTTACCAGCGGTTCACCCTGTTCGGCTCGTTTTACATTCTCCAATACGCTTTGATGATCGGGAAAGGCTAGTGACTGTAGTTTGGAGTGAACTAAAGTGTCATTGATTTTAACTTCGAAAGACCCTTGTCGTCCTTTGTGGCACAACATTTCCGTATCAGGTTTTTGTTCAAGCAAAAAGTTTTGCAACATTCTGCACTGCCACTCGAAGTTGCATTTGCCGCTGTTTATTTTTTGAATATTTTTTTTTACAATTATTAAGTAGTACAATAGCTAAATACACATCTTACCAATATTCCACATCAACTTTAACCATTACTGTTATTTTATCACTAGAATTTAGCAAAAATTAAACGGTTTTTTTGCAAACTAGGGAAATTTCTTTTGAAAAGTATTTTAAAGTGTTGACAATTTGGTAAAATTATCTTCAAATCTAGCGATTTTTAAAACGTGGAAACTCTAGAGATTTTTCCAAAAACAACAAATTTTCTAACAAAGGTAAAAAGTAATACATCTACACGAAGAAAACATCTTCATATTTTTTATTGTTGCCAAAATTTTTAGGCAATGCTTGCAAAAGCTTTATGTAATAAGTGCATCCTGAGTAGAGTTCTATAGTTGAAACGAAAAGTCGACTTTTCGACTTTTTGCATTTAGTTAAAAGTCGACTTTTCGACCTTTCGACTTTTTCCATTTTATGAAAAGTCGATTTTTCGACTTTTCGACCTTTTTCATTTATTTAAAAGTCGACTTTTCGACTTTTAGTATTTTATAAATGGTCGACTTTTCGACTTTTTCCGACTTTTTTCGACTTTTTTCGACTTTTTTCGTCTTTTCGACTTTTTCCGACTTTTCGATTTTTTACGACTTTTTGACTATTTTCGACTTTTTTTCGACTATTTTTTTACTTTTTTCGAGTTTTTCCGACTATTTTAGAGTTTTTGACCTCTTTTCCACTTTTTTAAAATTTTCGACTATTTTCGACTTTTTCCGACTTTTCGACTTTTTTCGACTTTCTTCGACTTTTTTCGACTTATCGACTTTTTTCGACTTTCCGACTTTTCGACTTTTATTTACAAAGTCGACTTTTCGACTTTTTTCATAGACGATAGTCGAGTTATCGACTTTTTTGGAACAAAATAGTCGACTTCGACCTTTCGACTTTTTTCGAAAAAAAGTCGATTGTTCGATTATTCGAAATAGCTAAATTGACATCACAGGTGTTGACATTGATTGCCAGTTTTCTGAGAGCTGATGTAAAGCGAATTAGATACGATAACAACATGAGCAAATTATAACGGATTTGCTTATAAACAATTTGACATTACAGTGTTCCCAATAATATTTTTTGTATATGAAGCATGACATTTAGGCCTTCAGCAGTTGTACCAAAGTATATTAATAAAGTAGCGACATCTCTTGTTGTACAACAACATCTACAACAACCACATGTATTTTGTTTTTGGAAAATTTAAGATTGTGTCAAAATAAAATTTCCTTGAAAAACAATGTGAACAAAACATAAATAAAAAATATTACTTTTAAGTTAAAGATATTAACGATTTAATTATATTATTATATATTATACAATTTATTACACTTTTAAACTACTTTAAAACCACTTTTAATTCACTTTTTCAACTTTTCACAAATTTTAACAAATAGCAAAACACAATTTAAAAATGGCGACGTAAACAATGTTAACAATTTTCAAAACAAACTTTGACAATTTGCTTCATTTATCTAGTTTAAAAAAATAGTCAGCTGTTCAAGTGATGCTACTTTATTAATTTACTTTGAGTTGTACTACCACAAGCACCCCTAGAAAATTCATTCTGAACTGATTGATGTAAACAAAACAAAACAATATAACTCACAGCTGACACGAAAAATGTAAAAAATATGACTACAGCCTAAAAAAGCAAGAAAAACTCAAAAACTGTGAATTTAACAATCATTAAAACTTAATTAGTAACGAACAAAAAACTTTTAAGAATTTTCCACAAACCGAAGAAAATGGTACGTTGTATTGTGATAAATCGTAAGTCGGCCTTAATGCTAATCTGGATTTTCGTGCTGAGTGGCATACGACAAAGTTACACGGATGATGCAGACAACAAAGTTACCACCAGCAACAATAGCGAAGTGGCTCCCTATGTGATACGCAACTTTAATGAAACGTCGCAGCAGCTATCCCAGTGTCAGAATACAGCCAATATAAATTGTAGTGAACTGCAGTTTCCATGCATAAAATGTTACTACAATTACACCTGCCACTATGGTCAAGAATTGTATGTCAACTGTTCGGCTTTGCATCAGGTGGAGTGCCAGGGTAGCCGTTGGTTTTGGCATCAAATGAATTGTCGTTATTGCTATCAAACCGAGAAATGGCAACAGAAATGTGTTCAAAAAGGCAATTGCAATTCGGTAAATGGCCAATATTATAAAACCAACTGTACCGTTAGTCCGGATGTTTTTTGTCTGGGTAACCGTTCGTTTTCGCGCAATATTAAGTGTAATTGGACACAAGGTTATCGCTGGAGTACGGCTGTAATAATAAGTTTAACTTTGGGAGGTTTCGGAGCCGATCGCTTTTATTTGGGCCATTGGCAGGAAGGTATTGGTAAACTGTTTAGTTTTGGTGGTTTGGGTGTATGGACGATAATAGATGTAGTATTAATATCATTGCATTATCTGGGACCTGCTGATGGTTCTTTGTATATTTAAGGGAATATAATAGCAAAAAACTCTAGGCCTTAAGTTAAGTTTAAAATGTTAATAATAAAGAAAAACTAAAAAATAAACCAAAATATACTCAAATATTTTTAATATTATACCACAATTGCATAATTTTTTCTTTTTATTTCATATTTTACCCTCTCCTTTATATAGTTTTATTATAGAACTTTTTAGTTATTACTGTATTTCACTCATCATCATCTCCAAAACGTATATGTTTAGTAATTAGTTTCTTTACCTTCTCCCTGCCCCGTTTCTGTGGTATTTTTACTTGTTTATTTAGCTTTTGCTCTCGATCTTTTTCAATTTTTTGCCAATAGTTTGCCTCAGCTTCATCGGATAATATTTTGCATTGATATTCAGCACAGCTGATTTGTTGCATAAATTCCACTGCTTTCTGAGAAGACTCTAAACGTAGATAAGCTTGCATAGCACCTTCTTTGATATCCACATATTTTACCGAGCTATATTGACGCATATCGGCTTTAAATTCCTTAATATTAACACAAGGCTCTAGAAATGAAATTTCAACTATAAGACCCGGTTCATAGCTAAATAAGGGTGTCCTTTCCAATGCGGGATTCTGTTTTGGTACCTTCTCGCTAATGCTTACTTTTGTGGGAGGCTCTTCTTCGGCTGCCCCATAGAAATTCATATTCATTTTCTGTAATTTATGCTTATTACCAGTTTTAGAATTTTTCTTTTGTTCCTGCTGTCCACCTGGTAAAGAGTTATTGTCTTCCACCAGTGCGGCATCTTTTTGCTGCTTTAGTTCTTGTTGTTCACGCCAAGCTTTACGTTTCAGTTCGGTCACTTTTTCTCTTTGTAGGTTAAGATATTTATTGCGTAGTCGTTTCCAATCTCTTTTCGGCAATATTTTTAGTTCATAGTAGGCCACATCAGTATTGAGCTCAGCTTTAAGTTTTAGGGATTCGGTGGTTTTAGATTTCTTCTTCCGTTTGCGTTTCTTTTTCTTAAGTCCTTCCTCGACCGTTTTATCATCCAAACCCTCAGCCTTTATTTCGCTTTCCGATTGAGAAGTCGTAGCATTGTCTGTTTGCGAATTTTCAGTATCATCTTGTGTTTCAATTTTAGATTTCTTGGCTTTAGGTTCGGTTTCTTCGATAGTATCATCATTTTTAGTTCTTTTCCTGCTGTCTGTAGCATTTGATGTAGTGTCCTCCTCCTCCTTTTCTCCTGACTGTTCCTTAATGTAAGATTTTACGCTGGTTAGTTCTGAGGGATCTTTTTCTTGCATACTAAGGACACCATTAAACTCTTTGAAAGCTTTAATAGCTTTATTAACGCTATCCTCTTTTTCAAATTCCACAAAACCAAATTCTTTGATCTTGCGTGATTTGGTATATTTTGGCAGGGAGATATAGGCAACTTTGCCAAATCTTTCGAAAATTTGCCGCACCCATTCATGATCCGCTGTTGAAGGCAAAGCCTCCACATATAATGTTTTCTCATCAACATTACGATTTTCAGCTAACGGTATTTTACGCTTGACCTTTTGCTGTGTTTCATCCAACTCCAGCAGCTCAGAATTGCTTAAAGATTTTGCAATATCCTCCACTTTGGAGGTCAAAGCTTTCATTTTATTAAATGTCATAAAAATCTCCAAGGGAACATCTAAAAATAGTAATTTAATGAAGTACAATGTTATTTCATTCCATTCCATTCCATTGAAACTTACATGGATCTTTATCGAGCTGTTGTTTTAAAAAACGATCTTTGGTCAAATTAGCATCACCAAAGTAAAATTCCATTTGTGCCCTTATAGCATTGTAGTAATGCTTTTTACGTTTCCTATAGCTCTTCTTGTGTTCTCCTTCCTCAGCCGGCTCTTCAGCCATGCTTATATCGGTTGGTCCTTCTCCCACTGCTATTTCTTGATCAGTTTTGATCACATCTTGTTTATTCTCTTCCGTACTTTGTTCTTTCTGCTTTGTACTCTTTTTGTGTTTATTTTTGGTACCCATTGGTAAAAGTTTATATTATTATTTAAGAAAAAAATAAATAAATTGTGGAAAAGCGTTTAGAAATTCACTGTCCAAAAGTTTTCACACGGATTTTGTTTTGATTAACGTTGCCAATTGGTCATATTGTTTATTTATTTTCCAAAATGTCAAATGAACGCCAAAAATGGCATCTCTATCAGGCATGGGAAATTGAAATCTTAAATTATAACAAAAATAGTACTTTTAAGAATTTAGCGTACTTAACTATTTTTCCGCTAGACTATAGACTAGAATGTATAGTAGACTAGACTGTAAACTAGACTATGTGCTAGAATATAGACTAGACTATAGATTAGACAAAACAAGAGACTAGTCTACAGACTAGACTAAATATTAAATATGTACCGGTCTATTGACTAATATGTAGACCACTTATCAAATGTTTATGTTAGAAAAAGTACCGAAAATGTCGTGGGGGTATTTTCGATATAAAAAAGTACTAAGGTACTGCCTGACACCTAGTATTTGCTTTGTCGATAACATAGAAAAATAAATACCTTTTCTTAGGGTTCTATAAATCGACTTTCGAATAATCGAACAATCGACTTTTTGTCGAAAAGTCGACTATTTTGTTCCAAAAAAGTCGATAACTCTATTTTGTTCCAAAAAAGTCGATAACTCGACTATAGTCTATGAAAAAGGTTGAAAAGTCGACTTTGTAAAAAAAGTCTAAAAGTCGTAAAAAGTCGAAAACTCGAAAATAGTCGAAAAAAGTCAAAAATAGTCGAAAATTTTAAAAAAGTGGAAAAAAGTCAAAAACTCGAAAATAGTTGGAAAAACTCGAAAACTCAAAAAATAGTCGAAAAAAGTCGAAAATAGTCAAAAAGTCGAAAAATCGAATATTTATAAAATACTAAAAGTCGAAAAGTCTAAAAGTCGACTTTTCGTTTCAACTATAGAACCCTACCTTTTCTATGGTCGAAAATCCTTTTAAAAATAAACAACTTCGGTAACCCTGTGTCTTAAAGAATTAAATAAACATCTGTCAAAATAAAAAGACGAAAAGAAGAGAAGCGCAAACATTAAGATAAGAAGAAGCGGCACAAAAAATTGCAAAGTGACGCTCGATTTTTAAAGATTATTTGTTGAGAATTTTTTTATTCTTGAAAACTATTGCAAAATATATTAAAATCTAAAATACAATAATATCAACAAAAACAATTAAAATAAATAAACAGAAAAAGTATCAAATCAAAGGAAAACTAAGAATAAAGTAAAACTATGCAGTGAATGTTGAAAATTGGAAAAATTGTGATGAACAACAACACAAAAAAGCACGCAAAACAATAAGAACGAAAATTTATCAAAAAATAAAAAAAAGAATTTACAACAATTTCTGTTGAATTTATTATTACAAAACATGGAAATTGTGGTGTTAAATAGTGATATAGCACGTTTGGTATTGGGTAAGTTTGTTTTAATGGTTTTTTTAAATGAAAAAAGTTAACAATTGGAAACATGTTTTTGTTTCATTGGCCAGACTATTTGAAGTCTCAAAAATTGAAAAAGGCCACTCACACCTTTTGTAAGACTTCACCATATTTGAAACAGGAATTCTCGGCCTACAAACAGGGCTTGCAGACACATTCATTTTTTCCTGAACTACAGGAAATTATTTGTGAATATGTAAAAATATCACGTAAAGGTAAAATATTCATATTAGAACTATAATTATAAAGTACAGTTCCATTAAGAACTTTCTTTAAATTTTTAACTTAAGTTGAACAACTGCTGCCCAAATTGACCGATGCCTTACGTTCCCAATTGCAACCGTGCAAGTTGTCGGAAAAAGTCAATGAACTTTTAGAACGTGGTTCACAAGCCATACTAGGCTCTAATCTGAGTAACAATAAGAATGACCTCAAAAGTAGTGCCTCCACTGTGGCCAACTCACAAAGCAATAATACAGCCGATGAAAAGGATGGCTGCCAGGCCAAACGTAAAAGAAGTTTTGAGTGTTCTAACAATTCATCGAATGATGAAGTGGCTTCTGATACGAATACAAATAAGAGACACAAATTAACTTCATCTCGCTTAGGGCCCTATACGAAGAAAAGACGTGTACTACAGCCATATTGTTTTTTATCGGCCAAAGCTTTACAGCGTCATAAACGTCGTTATTATACAAAAGCTTGTGCCTCTACCACAGAAGAAGATGTCGAGGAAGAAGAGGATGTTGAAGAAGAATCGCAAGAGTCGAGTAATGACAACGGTGAAGATGTTAGTGTTACTGAGGAAGAGTCACAGGTTGATGAAGAATGTGATGGTGATGAAATATTCAATGGTGAAAAGCCTTCAAAGGAGTCAACTCCACGAAATAGATCGAATAGAAAGGCGGAGAATTTGGTGGCCCCACCCATTCTACCGGTGAGTAATAATTTCCATAGATCTCTAGATTGAAGCTTTTAAGAATCTCAAGAAAATGTTTTTCATAAAAAGGTTTCTCAGCTTTTTCATTAGAAGCATTTTTAGATCAAAAAATTTTCAGACAAAAATTCTTTACAGAAAGCTTTCACGGAAAAAAGTTTTTTAAGTTTTTTATAAAAAAAATCACTGGGATTTTTTGCATTATTATTTATTTTTTTTAATAAAAGCTTTCTTATTTATAAAAAGCTTTCTCAGAAAAGGTTTTCGTAAAAAGCTTGTCATAATTTTTTTTTAATTTTAAAAAACATATAACAGAAAGACAAAGTTTTTTCATAAAAAGCTTTCTCAAATTTCTTTTTTTTTCAATAAAAGCTTTCTTAGAAAAAGCTTTCCTGCAAAAATCAGTTTTTCATAAAATGCACTTTTCTCAGAAAAGTCTTTTTACAAAAAACTTTTTTAGGAAGAAAAGTTTTTTTCATTAAGAATTCCGAAAATTATGTTTCCATAGTATGCTGCTTTACAAAAACATTTTCCAAATTTTTTCCTACAGAACTTTTTTATTCACTATAATACATTATTTTCTGTATTCCATTTTAAAATCTATTTCTATATTTCACAGGATATTTCTCAAGCTATATTAGACAATCCGGAATTTCAACAAAAATTAGTGGAAAACATCAATCAAGCTTTAACTAAATCTAGCAGCGAAACTACAACACATCCTTTAAATTCCAATCAAACGGAAAATTCGAATCCCCCTTTAAGCGGACCGCCATTAACTGGTGAAGAAATTACCTCAAGTCAGCTTTTAGATCAAATGATCAAAAATATCTTAGATGCTACCGAAAAGGAACCCAGTTTTAATGACATCATACAAGAGGTGGTAGAGGCAGCCAATAAGCCTCAAGTACAATCGGCAGCAATACAATGTAATATTAATACAAATACAAATTTGCCGGCAGTAGAAAATGTACCCTTGCCATACCCAATGATAGAACCACCACCACTAATGCCGACACAAACGGCAACACAAATACAGTTGCAGCAAATACCAGCACCTGCAGTACCGCCTACTGAAGGTGATTCAGCGCAAACAGGAAATGTAATGACAACCAGGAATATGTTAAATATACCTGCAACAAATGTACCACCACCTCGTACTCCTGTCATAATAAGATCAGCAACTGCTACCAACACTTCTATAACAAGTGCAACAGCTTTGACTGCTCAAGATCCTCCCACAATGTTGGCGAATAATTCATTTGGACCGTTGATCGATCCTAATTTTTCCATTTCAAAATTAATTGTTTTAAACTCAAATGATAGTGCTCAGAAGCAGCATCCGGAAAATTGCATAGGTAATACCACAGCTGATAACCTAATAAGTCAATTATCCACCAGTGGTATTGTGGATTCCTCAGATGAACAAGTTTACTTTGACACTACCACCGGTCAGCTAACTTTTCCCATTTTCCTAACCAACGATGGTTTATTGACAAATTTTCCCTTCCTTATCAATAATGAAATTGTTAATCAACAATTACAACCAAATAATTTGGGTAATTTAGAGGGATCACGTCTAGAAATTCCCTTAAGCGAACCTATAGTGGTAAGTGCAAATCAATTGCCTCCCAATTCTATAATTTTAAGTAGTGCTCATAAGGAAGCTATTGTTGAAAATCCTGAAACGGTGGAAAAAACTATTAAGGAGGCAGATGTAAAGCACTGTAATACGGTGCCGCCCACTTCAACGGACAATCGCTTGTTGTGTGACAAAGCTACCCCCTCCTCAAGTGGCATTGTTAATACTAAAGCTTTTAAAAGTTTGTCGACACCACGCAAACGTACTTCTCATGTTAGAACACTAACATTTTCGCCCAGAGATCCTAATTCTTTGGGTACTGCGGGTACACCATTATCCACCAGAAGGGAGGCCATAAGTCGTTTCCAGAGAACTTTACCAAAAGTCATGGCAGAGGATGAAAAAGTTAAAACAGTGGAAAATGCGGAAAAACTGGATGAAAAGGAAAATAATGCCTCCGAAAAGGCTGTCATAAAAACTGTGGAAATACTGCCAACCATAGCAAATTCCGCGGCAAATGCTAACAGCGAAACTATGACAGAGAACACCAGTGTCTCGGCAAATGAGTCCAGCAACATACCACCCCTCTTCGTCAGCGAGGAGAGCAGCAACCAAACTATTATAAACAAACAGATAACAGCTTCAAAGGATGTGCAAAAGGAACCTTTAAAACCCAAAGCCTTAACAAATATCTCCAAAACCCAAACTACAGCCGATGAAAATACACCAAAACGCAAACAATACCGCAAAACAGCCGTAAGATCTTGCAAAAGACAACTGTCAAAGTCTTCAAATGAAGATGAATTACTCGAAGAAGAGAAAGCGGAAAAGGAAAATGAAAAAACTGAGGAATCGCCGCCGCAAGCTGATGGAAATTCTGCTGACAATGATATGATGCAAGAATGGATACGTTTTCGCAGTACATGCAAAAAAGTCGATTTGGATGTACGACTACGAGAGATCAATGCCTCGACACAATCAAAACAAGTCAAGAAAGTTAATACCAAAAAGCGTGTTAGGCGTAAAAAACCGGCGGCGATTAAGAAAAAAGAAAAACAATTGGCGAAGGAAGCTGAAGAATTGGAAAGATCTAGAGAACTACATAATGAATCACAAGAACAGTTGG